GGATCAGGAAAACATCAACCAGATCCCGAGATAATAGAGGCAATCAAGAAGCTGGAAAACGCCGAAAACGAAAAGAGATCTTAAAAGTTCTGTTAGGATTGTGTAATTATTATCGCGATTATATCCCAGGGTATGCAGAGATCGCCTACCCACTCACAGAACTCACGAAAAATAAACAACCGGAAATACTCGAATGGAAAAGAAATTCATTGAGTCAAACATTTCAACAACTGAAGGAATGATTAGCGATGTCAACGGAGCTGATCACCCCAACACTGCAGGATCCATTTGTCATTCATTCTGATGCATCCCAAATCGGAATAGGTGCATGTTTATCACAGCAAAGGGGATAGAGAAGCAATTTCCCATCTGCTACGCGAGCAAGAAATTATCGAAACCTCAACAAGAGCTGGCCGACCTATAGAGCGCATGATGCTTATGCTATAGTATGGGCCATTGAAGAAGTTTGAACCTTGGATATTCAGTTTCATCAGTGAAAATTGTCACTGATCCATAATCCTCTAGCCTTTATAGTGAGAAATGCTCCACAATCGTCCAAATTACAACGATGGGCCATAGCTTTGCAGAAATATAATCTCGAAATAGGACATTGCCCTGGAAAAAAACTGTCAAACGCGGATGCATTATCCAGACTTCCCACTTGTGAACTTTAAACATTAATTTACTGTTCATCTTCACGAACATTTTGTATAGTTAGTGATTAGATGGTTTTTCTTTGCTTTTCATAATCATTTTACAATTTTGTGCAAATAAGATGTTTATGTAATTTGAAATAGATAGAGAAATTATTGGATAACAAATATTGGAGGTAAGTGGTAAATTTAGATATTTGTCTCCCAAGGATTTAAATCATGCTGCAGCATCATTAATTATAAAGAATGTTAAGAATATAATTATATATATATATAGGAAACTTAATAATTTTACTGTCATCATTGGAATAATACTACCGTATATTTTAACATGTTTATAAAAGAAAATATCAACTTGGTTTCTTTGAATTAAGAATTGATAAATTGTTACAATAATAATAAGGTTCGGAACAAGTGAAGTTAAAAATGAGTTATCTATGCTTATATATAAAAATGTGTTATTTATGTTTATATATGTTTATGTAGTAAATTGAGGTGCAATTGGAGGTATTATATTGCAAATGTCTATAGTAATTGAGATTTGAAAATTAGGATAGAATGTATAAAAGTATATGTAGTTTTTTTTTTTTTTTTTTTTTTTTCTTTTTCACGTTGATCGCAAACAGTTGCTTGATTTTAGTTTCCAGATTGCTGATTGATTTGTAAATAATATCAGCAACAATCTTACGACGGGGGTGTGATATCTGGCGACTGTTTGGCGATCAACAGAGCGTGCTTGGCGCAGGTAGCTCTTTTCCGAGAAGGGTTAATGTATTTATTAAGAGTTGCATGTTAGCCTCGGAAGAGGAAGGTAGTAGATTGTACTATGCGGTAGGAGCGACGTACTGCTCTGAGTAACTATTATATTATGCTTTGAATTATATATTTAATAAATGTTTGTTTCGTCTTGCTAAATGGTGCCTTATTAAACCACGAAGTCATCACAGTCATTTGTGAGGGTTCAAGACCTGGAATATAGGAAAGCACAAAATTTAATAATGAAGCATTAAATATAAAATGATCATATACTGAAAAGAGGTAACATTTTAGCCAATAGTAAGGAATTGGATTTTCACGAATCAACAATCTATGGCTACAGATTCAAATATGAACAGAGAACAGCAGTAACCATTAACCCAGACATCTCTTTCCTAAACTTCTAACTGTAGATTTCATATGCTCCTTTTTGGCTTATTTTGGCTGAGCACATGTGAATAAACTTGGTTTCCCTACTAAGCTTTCGTGTTTTGCTATATTATCGAATTGCGTGTTTTTACATTATATTTGTACATTCTGTTTAAGATATTAAATCAGAATTATTCATAAGTTACCTCAAAATGCTCATTCTGAAGACTGGAATCTAACAATGGAAGTATTAAAACTCACCGACAGCCTGCAATAAACTTGAATTCGTTTAGCAAACATTAGCTGCTTCAACTTTGGTGTGTTCTTTGCCATGTAATAAGTAATATGTTTGGCTCAAACAACTGAAATGTCATAAATTCTGTCAATAAATATGTATATCATTTCTATGGCGATATATGAAAATCTTATACCTAGGCTTAGGCCCAGTGGCATTATGTGATAAATAAGTGAAACGTTCAAGAACAGACTAATTTAAATTCCATAGTATCATTTATTGTGATTATTTATTAAGGAAGTAATATTTTAGTCACGTGCCAGTTGATGAGGAACCGTGGCACGCGGGCCATAGGTTCGACATTACTGTTATAGAGGAACTTGTTTGTATGTCTGTTAATTTTCTCTTTTTACCTAGGGGATGAAAATGCAACAATTCTGTACCTACCATTTTAAATGGCCTTTAAATTTAATTTTAATCAGCCTTATGCTTTTGACATAAAATCCTACTTTTTCTGAAATAACATGATGATTTAATTTCAATAGTTATGGGGTTGATGCAGTAAAAAAGAGTTTAATTATATAGTTTGGGATTATTTAATGTAGCTTTTATTTATCTTTTTGATAAGTGGAACCCTTGTACAAAGGGTTCCACTTATCAAAAAGATGAAACTTATCAAAAAGATGTTCCACTTATCAAAAATGAGGTGATTGATTTGAATCACCTCATTAAGAGATTTTTTATCATTGCAGATATACTTATAATATCTTATACTATATGGGTAAAAATTGAATTCTCATGTCAGGTTCAGCATCAGGTCAGTTTTGCGATATTAATTTTTTGTTGCCACATAAGCTGAGTCGGCACATTTTGCACTATAAACTGCACTGGAATTCCACTAGCACCATTAATTAAAATTTTTCTTGCAACAATGAAATCAGGTGTCATTTCAATAAAAACTTTTTATTCTTCTGCTGACATGTTCAAAGGTTGTGCATTAATAATAAATGGGTTTTGAATCCTCAGTTCATTCTAATATTTAATATGCCGTTCATTTGAAAAGTATGGATTAAAAGTTTCACTCAGAGCTTTTTGGTGCTGTATCATTTCTTCAGTAAATATCCTGTTTCAACCCCTTCCTTCTGAAAAGCCTTTTATTGTTGGTAAGCAGTCAATATCATTGGAGAGTACACAGATTGTCCAAAACTATATCACCTTCTTGAAAGCAAGAATTTTTTCTTATAGCAGTAAATACATTTACTTGTTTGCCCTAAAAGGTTAAATTAAGTTCATTGATCTTTGCAAAAATGTTGCTTAAATAAGCAATGTTGCTTAAATAAGTCATGCCACCCTGTTAAGCAAGAAATGGCTTCTTTTTACTATTATGTATTTCGTGCGCTCAAAGTTTGCTCCTCAGAATCTTTGCTTACCAATGAACTTAATTATTTGAGAGCAGTTGCTATTGACTGAGGATTTTCTCCCGTGATCATTGATAAAGCCGTTAAAAAATTTTCAGATTCCCATCAAAGAAGACATTCCACTGTTAGAAATAATATTAATGACCTTGTAGTGCTTCCATTTTATCCTTCTGTTAGTTATAAAGTTGCACGGATTCTCCAGAAATTCAATTTTCATGTCATATACTCCCCTATAAATAAAATTCACAGTTCGATTCTAAAAAATTGCATTTCTGACTTTAATTCTTGGGGAATTTATAGTATATCGGGTCAGTGTGGCTTGAGATATATTGGCCAAACAAAAAGAGCGTTAAAGTTTCGTATCAAGGAACATGAATCCTATGTCCGAAAAGGCGAAATTAACAAGTCTTCAATAGCATATCATAGTTGGAAATTTAATCATAATTTTGACTTTGGTTATACAAAAATTATCCAAAAGGTTTCTTCCGTTGGTGAATTGGATTTTCTTGAGGCATTTCATATTCACAAGGATTTAACATGTTTAGTGAATGATTTTAAGTCCAATCAAGTCCCCTCTAATGCCTTTAAAATTCTATTATCATAATTCTTTATTATTTTTGCAGATAGATGGCGTTGCCTCCTCGTGTTTGGTATTACCGGAGGGTATAAAAAACCGTTACAGAGGTTGCTCTCCTTTTATTCGAGGTTCAGTCTTGGTGTATGAAGGTGCAGTTGCCCCTCACTCCCTATTTTTTGACTTCCTTGATTTGTTTGCGTTTTAGCCTATGTATTATATGTTTGATCAGATAGCCTGGCTCAGTAAAAGTAGGCAGCCAGTGTAATGTGATTCAAAATCCGGTCACGACCACGTGTTTCTAAGACTCCTTTGCCAATGCTTTATTTTTCTTCTTTTTTCCCTTTCTAGTAATTTCGTTCTCCTGATGAGGAGGGACCTTTAGCTGCCCTCGAAATCGATTTAGTGTTTTAACATATGTAATATAACATATGCTAAATACAAGGTTGTTTTTGCGATTTTAATTGTCACATTGGCGTGTTTCTCTTCTATTCTCATTTGTTTCTTGCCAAGATGGAAAAAAAAAATGTCAGCTCATCAAAGCTATTATAACTTAGAAGTACCTAACATTATTCTTCTTGACATGACATTTAACAAGGATTAACTAATCTGTTAAACAATAGATTTCTGTAATGCAATGATAAAAACATAAATATTATTGTTATAATAAGATATTCTTAGCTGTCATAAGTACACATTGCAATGAATATTATCTATTTCAGTTTGAAAAATATTGCTGAGGTTCTTAAGCTCATCAAAATGTTTCAGATTAAAATGTTATGAGGGGAAGTGTAATACATTCATAGTATTAATAACTTGTTTTGGTTATTAGCAATCATATTGCTTGAGTTTCGAATCCCTAATAAAGCTTAGATACGTGTAATTATGACATCTTTGCAAAATGGAGACATTTAAAATCTAGTCCAATCCATTCAACTGTTTGTTAAGTTGTTAATAATAAATGTTGTATTAATTTCTTTTACTTTATTTTTAAGGGTCCAAATGATGTTGTTCGACTTTTCATTGGATTGACAGGATTAAAAATAGTTGGAGCTAAAAAGTTCGAAGTTGTTATGTAAGTTCAAGATATTAAATTTGTTTTTATTTAGTTGGAAAATGTGATGCTGATTGTTCATGAATAAAAATCTTTTTAATTACTCTAGGATATTTCGCAATAGGTTCTTTCATCCCTGGGACACATTAAAACAGTTGATAAGACACTGGAGAATTCTTAAGAATATGTATAAGTTTGACATTGATATAGCTGGTCACATTCATCCATCATTAGTGGTGTGTAGTTATATTTTTAGTTCATTGATAAACTTATTTTTCTGTTTGTTATTCTTGTAAAATTGTAATATGAATTATCTAATATATTTAATACATTTAGTATATACCAGGGTTGGCTAAACATTACTACGGTAAGAGACGTATGGTAAATTTCATGAAACCTCGACATCCACAGTTAGATTTTCCAAGAGTTGCAAATCCATATTTATATTGTTTAAAAAATAAAGAAACATTTCAAGTAAATTAATAAGAATTTCACATTTTGTGTAATGAATATGGTTTCATAAAATTGCGGAACTTTATTTATCTTGCTTTGTGATCAAAATTGGATAGGATGCATTTGAGCGTTGTTCCTTCAGGTAAAAAACAAGCATTTTCTTTTGATTTCCTTTACTCCTCTTTGTTCATAATTGTTGTTATTAGAATGGAGCTGAAGTCGGATGAATATGCATTGGTCTTTAGAAATACATATTGGAAAAGAGTTTTCATTTCAGCAAAGAGTCGCTTATTTTAAAAAGCAAATTCAATGTTTTTCTTAAATTTTAACTCCTACATAGTGTTTTAGAAAAAGTAAAATAAATTATACGGAACAGCGCATATCAGAGAAACTGTTATTTGAGAAATAAAAATTGTTTTGGAGTAAGTTATTAACTTTTTCAAGCTTTTGCATGAAAATTAATAACTTTATTTTACCACACAATTAACATAACAGCCAACGTACTGAGATCAAATCTCATTTTAAATATTTGAATTAATTTATTAGATTCAAACTGGATTATAAGTTACATTTTATTCCTAAGGTTGATACTTTCGAAACCTCGTATCTCTTGAATCTTCAGAAAGACTTTAAATTCTAAATCTCGAATCTTAGATCTATTTTCAATATTCAACTCTGTTGAACCCTAAACTAAAAAAACTGGGAAACTTCTTAAATCAAAATTTCGGAATGGCTTGTTGTACGGATGCTCTCTGAATAAGAACTCACTAAAAGAAGATGATTACAATATCAATGGTATTGGAACAATATACTTAATAACGAGACTAAACAATACTTAGCATAATCATAAAAGGAAAAAAAACTAATTAAAACGCGAAGGTTTTACAATAGTTCTACCACATCTAGTTTTAATTATCTTATCAGGAGGTTTAAAGTTAATTTCTTTACTAGCAGGAATGTTAAATTGATTTTGTTTAGATCAAAGCAAGTTCTTGTCGTCCATCACTTCCAAAGGATACAGTCGTTGCACAGGACGGATCAATTCACCTGCAGCTGTTTTCACCTTTGCCACTCTAACACAATTATCTTGACTCTGGAGTAGTTCAATAACTCGACCCAATGGCCAGTCCAATCTTTTTTTGTTGTCACTTCCCACAAGTACCACATCTTCTAAATATATTTGTCTTCGAGTAGCTTTATTATCTCTGGACTGAATTAGGGGACTCAAATATTTGTCTCTAAATCTTTTTCTGAGATCTTGTCGTAATTTCTGCTGATATCTATATCTCTTATTGATATTGACTTCATCTATATAATCTAAGTCCGGAACTCCCACCGTTCTTATATCCTGAATGAACATAGAGGGTGTTAAAGGTATTAAATCTTCAGGATCTTCAGACAAATAATTTAATAGTCTTGCATTGATTACAGCTTCCGTATCGCAGAAAATGGTACACAGCTCCTCATATCTCAAGCAGGCTCTTCCTAATATTTTTCTCAAAATTTTCTTAACCATCTGAATAATACGCTCCCACCAACCCCCCACCACGCAGCTGTGGGGGGGATTGAACTTCCCTGTAATCTTCAAAATAGAACATTCTTGCATAATTTTGCTCCAATCGAGTGAAAGAAAGAGGTTGTTCGTCCCAACAAAGTTCCTACTATTGTCGCTATACATAGTTTTTGGTCGTCCACGTCTGGCTATGAACCTTCTGAAGCCTAACAAAAAATCTTCGGTGGAAAGTCCTTGTATCAGTTCAAGATGTATGTCCCCATAAACAGCACAGGTGAATAAAAGTATCCAAGCTTTTTTCTTTCCATCCTTTAGATGAAGAGGTCCAGATAAGTCTACTCCAGTCACTTCAAAAACCAGAGCGTCTCGGACCCTATTCTCAGGCAGTGGGGCTGGAACTGTTTCGATTTTTGCATTATATCTTTTGCATCGAATGCATTTTGCAATTACCCTTTGAACTGTTTTGCGTCCTCTTAAAATCCAAAACCGTTGATGAATATCCGTCAAAACAATTTGAACTCCAGCATGTGAAATTACTGTATGTCTTTCAAAAATTAACTTTTCTACAATTTGATGATCACAAGGTAAAAGTATGGGACACACGAAATAATCTATATCATCTCTTCGAAGGATTTTTGTCTTCAGTCTCAGGCTTCTTTATCAGTGAAAATGCAAAGAGCTTTCAACTTTGATTTTGTAGATTCGTTTTGGAAAGATTCTTTCTGAACAATTAAGAAAAGCCTTTTCTCATCTGCTTCTATTTCCTGAACAGATAATTTTTCCTTCAGTTTGTGATCGGACTTTCTAGAATTATGAAAGAATCGCAGAATCCAAGCTATCAGCCCAGTGATTCTCGAATATTTAGAAAAACGATGCAAGTACCATTTTTTGTTAGGAGCAACTGAGGTAGCTAAGGCAGTTATTCCCTTTTTCCTTTTTTTTTAGAAACGTCTTCCATATTTAATTTAATTTCAGAGACGGGCCAATTTTCTTCAGGCTGTTTAAGCCACGGTGGACCCTCCCACCATCTGGATCTGAGTAGAACTCCAGCGGAACATCCTCTGGATGGGAGATCAGCCCGATTGTCGCTTCCTGGGATATGCTTCCCATTGTTCCTCTGATGTTAAATTTCTTATCTCCTTCACTCGATTATTGTACAAATGTTCCCCAGTTATTTTCATGCTTGATCCAGAACATAACGGTAGAGGAGTCAGTCCAACAGGTACTTGATATTCCCATTAAATCCATGGCTTCTTTCACTGTTGCAGTGAGATGAGCTCCGATCAAACATGCTAACAATTCTAATCGAGGCATTGTTATCTTTGTTAAAGGAGCCACTCTACTTTTACCTTCAGTCAAATGAACTTTTACCCCTTTCTCACGTTCGCTTCATAGAAATACGATTGCGCTATAGGCGGTCTTGCTCGCATCACAAAAAGTATGAAAACTCAATTTTTCTTCTGGGATGTTGCTTTGGACATATCTTGGAATTTTGATCTCTGTTAACAGATGTAAATCTTCAAGCCATTTATTGAATTCCAGGCGAATATCTTCTGGACAGGTTTCATCCCAACCAATCTCCAGGTTCCAGCTATTCTGTATTAACAGTTTCAAACGAATCGTTACTGGACACAGAATTCCTATAGGATCGAAGATGCTGTGAACTGTCAAAAGAATATTATCTTCTAGTAATGGGTTTTTGCTTGAAATCAATTTTTTCAAGATCACGAAACAGAACATCTTTAGTTTTATCCCATAATAATCCAAGAACAGGGACAGGTTTTTTTTGACGTTCTTCACCTGTTAGACTGGAATGTTCCCAACCTCTTAAATCGAAACAACCCATAGCCAGAATCTGTTTTGCTTCAAAAATGAATTTTTTAAGTCAACTTGACTAGTTACTGAAGTTATGCAGTTATCCACATAGAATACATTCCTCAGCTTTTCTATGGTTTCAGCAAAATGGCTTTCATTTTGTTCCAAATGGTAATCTAGAACGGCAGCTAGTTAGAAAGGGCTGCTCGTAAGTCCAAACACTACTCATCGGTGACGATAAATTTTTTGTTTTCTTTCCTTATAATCTTCCCACCATATGAATCTAAGAAAATCTTGGTCTTCTTTGGCCATAGATATCTGTAAAAAGGCCTTTTTTATATTCGAAACTACACCAATTTCTTTCTGACGAAATCTCATAAGTAATGGAGGAATTTTTTTTGATAAGATTTGGTCCTGTTTCTAGACAGTCGTTGAGTGAAAGTGAGTTCTTACTTCTACACAAAGCATCAAATACAGTGCGTATCTTCGTAGTAGAATTTCCTTTTAAAATACCTCTATGAGGCAAATAATGACAAGGATTTCCCAATTCACTCTCTGGTACTTTTTCGATGATAGTTTCTTGTAACCATTCCTTAAATACAACTTCATAGTCATTGTATTTTCCTTCTTTAAGAAGTTTCTGAGTAGTAGTTATGCATCTTTTTTCAGCTATATCTTTGTTTTCGCTTAACATCTCGTACGTCTCTAACCAAGGTAGTTTGACGATGTAAAGGCCATTTTCATCTCTCTGAACGGTTTTTCGAAAATGCTGAAGAATGGACTGTTCCGTTTCTTCTTTAGTTCTTGTTTCAGTAGGATCCTCTATACCTATAGTATCTAATTTCCACAAATCAGCCACAGAAGAATTTTTAATCAGTAAAGATGTCACTAAGTGGTATGAAGTTTCGTCAAACCTTTCTTCGGACATGTTTCCCATGATAACCCATCTTAAATAAGTTTCACATGCAATCAAATTGGATTTCAATGTACATATTCTTCCTGTAAATATATTACCACAATAATCTGCACCTATTAACAGATCAATATCAGGACAACCTTCTGCATAGTCAGTGAGCCAAATTTTATTTTCTGTTAACTTTTCCTTATAAAGGTCTTGTGATAAGGTTACATAAAAGAAGAAGAGACTGAAGATTTATATGGACAAGGATGTCTCGTGAGCATAAGCTGAAAATTATTATTTTTTTAAACTTACAAACACGTTTTCAATAGTTGTTAAAATAGTCTTTATTAAAATAATTAAATCGTTGGCAATGTTAAAAACGCAAGCTCGAGAGCCACGAATTGCTCTCGCACGTAAAATGTATAGAATTTGATTTTTGATATAGATAGGTTTTTCTCTGCAGAATTGTATGTAGCCTTTTTTTTTTTTTTTTTTTTTTTTTTTTTTTTTTTTTTTTTTTTTTGTGTGTTTGTGTGTGTGTGTGTTCAATAAAA